CTCAGCATGTCTCAGGGGGTTTGTACAATTTGCCACAATCTTTTGGAGATACTGTCCAATATGTCAGAGTCCTCTTTCAGACAATGTCAGGGTTGTGAGAGGAAGAAAAAACATGTTTTGGAAGATCATCTGATGGAGTGCTTGAAGTAATTAGGGGAAAATGAAGTCATACATCTAAAGGATCAAATTACTTAAAAAAGACTAAAGTTCTTGCCTTTAAAAAATAAAGAATGAAGAGAGTGGAAAATACTGGAATTGTGAGCTTTTAAAAACCAGCATTATGATGTTTCAATTTGTGTCACGTTTGAGTCTCAATTTTGTGGAAGTTCTGCAATCTCATTTTGTTACACAGCAAAGAAAAAATAATCACAAAATCACAAAAGCTGTCAAGTGTTCTGGAGTAAACTTTATCACATGTGGAACATAGTCATTACAGGAATTCCAAATCAGTCATAGTAAAATGAAATGCTTAAAAGGTCTTTATTATGAGAGCTTTTCTGTACCAAGTCTTGTATACCAAAATGAGTTGGTGAGCCCCAACTCTTTGTGTCTCTCTAACTGTAGTAGAGCTAGCTGGAAAATGAAAGCTGTGAAATTTTAGTTTGTTGCTCTCTGTGTGTCATGAAAGAGCCAAATGCTTTCTAAAACCTGCAGTCACAAACTGATTATGAAATTCCCATGGGGACTCTGATGGGACTATCATAACTTAACAATGGAATGGTGAGTCACCGCAGGAGAAATTCATGTAATAATCTTTCCCAGTATTTGTAGGACCAGGAGGATAAAATGTCATTTAATTTCATTTGATTAAAAACTAGTAGGCAAGAGAGAAAGAGGAAGGAAAAAATGATGCATCTTTTATTTCAGGTGTGAAAGATGGAAGGAATATGTAAGAAGCGTATTATGGAGCAGGATATTACAGTGATTAATTTCTAATCTGACCAATGCTCCAAAATGGTCATGTTAATATCGTAATCATTCTATTTGATAACTTAAGGTGATAGTTTTTTTTTTTTTCAGATACTAGATGCAGAGTGTAGCTTTTGAGTGGAACAGCTGGATTATGAGGAGGTGGGTTGTGGAGGGATAGAATGTAAGAAAATAAAGATAGTGCGGAACTCTTACACCTGAGGAGTTGCAGCTGTACTAATTACCAAAGATTAGGAACAGGCCTGCCCTTAACAGGCCACAGCTGTGTCCAGTGAGGATGAGTGCTATGAGAGAGTGGGGTAACTGGGTGAGAAAGGAGCTGGAGTTTGTTGGCTGTGCTGTGAAGGGAGTTGGAGTCAGTGCTGTGAGGAGATGCCCATGAGAAATCACCAAGGAGGTATGGAACTTTTGCAATAGGATGACAACAGTGGATGTAGATTAAATCTGGTGCTCTCAGGTTAAAGACCATGGCTGGTGTTGCGTAAAGGTTTGGTGTGGTGTGTGTTGGTTCTTTGAGAAAGGGGAATTCAGTGAGTTTGTGTTCCTCACTGAAGCTTCCCAGTGCTGTCACAATACTGGGAGTTTGTCACTGTGCCATGGCACAACCACCCCATCCTCTCTCTTCTCCACCTTGCATTGCCAATGTTTATTTTTGGTTTATCTTCAGCATGTGCTGTGTGGTTTGTTAAGAAGCAGGGTGTGTAAAGGGCTTGTCAACCTTAAAGTGTATCAAATTGAAAATGAATGAAAGCAGAAGCAGATGTCTGTGAGGAAAGGTAAGACCGTTAAACAAAATATAAGTATTCTTGAATGAACTAGAACATTGTGGGAATCCACAAAATCAGAGGTTTTTGGGGAAAGCTGCAAAAGGCAGGCCTCAGAGACAGCAGAACTGTGATTAGAGCTAAGCAGCAGCCATGAGATTGGTCAGCAGAAAAATTATGTAAGTAGAAAAGCAAGGACAAAAGCAAGGACAAATAGAACAATGGTCTGTGTATTAATGCTTGCCTAGAAAAACTCCCCAAGCTACAGAAAATTTTATCTTAGAAGGTATTAGGAAGTTTTAAGCTTAATAATGGCACTCTGTGCATTGTATTTTAAGGCTTACGTGCAGGTATTGTGTTTGAAATAAGCAAGCAGTGTTTTACCCAAAGGTATGTGTGCTTATAGTGGTTGGATAGAACTGCTGTCAGTGTGCTTCTGCTTTGTGTGATTGGTCAAAAAAACTTCTGAAGTGAGTTGTAGCATTAAGTTCTTGGTCTGCTGCCTGGGATGTGAGCTGCTGGCATCTTCCCATTGTCATCACCATGGAATGAGACTGATGCTGGAAAATAAACAGCTCAAGGCACATTCACAGCATTCCTGTCCTGTTTGTAAACATCTTCAAAAATTCATCTGGAAATAAAAATCTCAGTGTTACGTGTTGCTTAAAAAGCAAAATTGTCTGGAAGCTTGGCCAAAAAGGTCCCTAATTTATTTTTTCATGTTCTGCTGTTCAAACCTAATGGAACCAAGGACTTCGTAGGAGTGGTGGTGAAAGAAGCATCACATGTGTTCAGTACTTTGTAGAGATGACCAAAGAAGAGTCAGATGTTTAGATGACAAGCAGGCATGCAAGAAATAAATTAGTAGTTAAACATATTAGTGGGAAAAGACTATTTTCTGGAAAGTCAATTTGCTAGTGAGTTTAAGTGGAATAAAATTATTATTTCAAACTATTTTATTTTAAAGATAGAAGTAGCTCTTCTGACACTTCCTATCCCTTCCGTGACTCTTCCTGCCCACACTGTAGGTCTGTTTTAGGAAATAGTGATTTTTTTCAAAGTTTTCATCCTAGTTTTCTCTAGCTATGATAAAGAACAAGAGCATTTGTTTGTTTTTTTTAAAGAAAACAAAACAACCAAACCCAACTATGAAGATGTGACTCATGCTGATGAAACTTTTTTTTTTCCAAGAGGAATTATGATGCAGTTTAGGTTGGTTTTGATTGTAATGTGTTGCTGCACAATAAGTGTAATCCTAAATGACACTTGGGACTCCTGTGATTAAGTTTTTGAGTGCATTAGTGCATTTCTGAGTGGGTTAATCTTATGCAAAAAAAAAAAAAAAAAAAAAAAAAAAAAAAAAAAAAAAGCTTGTTTTAATTTTCTGTTGCTCCTCCACATATTTCTAAAGGGATTTTCTAAATGGATTTCCCTACAGAACTAGAATATAAAAGCTAGAGGTTTATTGCTTATGTACATTAGTTCTGGTAAGGATTAAATGGAAATAACTTGAGTGGAAATCAAAGCATAACATATGTACCCTGGAAATTTTAAAAGTAATTTAGGAGAATTTGTATTTCAGATATTTAGCTACTTTGGATTTTTATTTTAGTTTATTTTTAGGATTCTTATTTTAGTTTTCTAAAATGCATGTTCATTTTTACAATTTGCTAAGCTAAATGCAGAGTGAAAAATTACATTTTTATATTCATTTACATTGAAGGAAGATAATAAAAAAGTAGCTAATTAGTTTAATATCCCACTCAATAGCCAGCGTTGCATTTTTATGGGTGTAGTAGAAGTAACAGTACAATGCAAAGAAAATCCAGAGTGATGGGAGTCTTTAATAAGAAAGCTTCTCTGAATCTTACAGGTATGTGAGAACTTATAGAGAACATGCTTGGAGTTTTTAGCATATGCAAGTATATTTAAAATTTAGCTAAATTCTTATGTTCAGTTGAGTTAAAGAAACAACCACATTGTTTAACTGCTTCAGTTTTGTGTTTATAAATTGGTTTCAAGGAGTATGCTTTTGTTTTTGGCAGAAGATAAATCAGAATGCTTAAATAGATTGTTTAGAATGGATGATGTGTTCTCTGTAACACAGATTTGTCTTACAGATACTGTTTACAAAAAATTATGGGTCAGTGCTTTATTTCTTCATATGAGTGATGCAACTTAATATTGGGTGATCACCCACTAAATTTTGTTTCCTTCATTAAGTTTGTAAAATATTGTAGGAAATTTTTGCTTCTAGAACATAAGCTTAGGAAATGTGATAGTATAGCATGAAGAAATTGTGTTAAATAATTGTTTCAGGCACAGTAGAGTTAGATTATTAGTCTCATAAGTGTCTTATTTATTTTTTGGGGAGGGGAATTTGATATAGAAGTCTTTGCTTTCTAAAAAATGGTTCTGGATATTTGGGTCTTCATTGCCTTTGATTTTCTGTTCTTATCCAATGGAGTTTCTGGTTGACTCTTAGTTCTTCTTCATTGCCTTTAAATTTCTGTTCTTATCCAAAGGAATTTTTGGTTGAATCTTAGTTCTTTGAAGAGTTAGATTGAAAAAATTCGCTTAAAACCTGCTTTTACCCTTGGGCCCTATAATTTGTGAGAATAAGTTTAGTTCATATCAATTTCTGCAAAATATGATTGTAGCTGGTAAGTAGTTTTCAAAACCTGTTTCACATAAAAAAAATAATCTGAGAAGTGGGAAAAAATCCCCATGCAGATATCTAATATTCAAGTATATGGAGAATTTGTTTTTCAGGTCTAGCTTGAGTTTCCCTCAACAACAGAGGTCAGTTCAATCAGGGCTGAGAGAAAAGATTTATGGCAATACCAAGGTGCAAAGAGGCAGTGACATTTGTACTTTGGTTTAGATACAATGAAACAAAAACAGTAAAAATCCTTTTTTTTTCTTTTTGCTAGTATGTATTCCCTAGACTAAAGAATTCCAGTGAGAGGTTTGGGGGTTTTTTTGTTGTTGTGTTTTTGGGGTTTATTTTGTATTTTTTTTGGAGGGGTGGTTTTTTGGTTTAGTTTGTTTTGGTTTTGTTGGGGGTTTTTTTGGTGTTTTTATTTGTCTGTGGGTGTTTGGTTTTCTTTTTTGTTTTTAGTTTTGTTACAGTGAGAGACTATTTTTTGCAGAATTGCAATGATGTCAGAATACAAGAAGCATTTCCAAAAAGACAACGGCATGTTTTCCTCTAGTCCACGAGGGGGATTTTCAAACTTAAGTTCTGCACCATCCATTAGTTTGTCAGTGCTCTGAGGTGAAAGTGTTTGTGTTTTCCCTCCCCAGCGTTTCCTGGACATGACATTTGGAGCTGGAGGTCACACAGCAGCTCTGCTGGAGAGAGCCAGAGACATCACAGTGTATGCCCTGGACAGGGACCCCACAGCTTACAGCATGGCCCAGCAGCTGGCAGCATCCTACCCGTGAGTTATCTCCTCCTGTCCTATAAAAATGGCTGGGATAAGGCTGGTACTTGGGTGTTTTAGCAGTAATTTAACATATTTTTATATATTATAATATATGATAGAAAATATATTATGCAATACAATATATTATATAATATAATTATAATATATTATTATATATTATATATTATACAATATAATAGACTGTATAATATATTGTATATTGTATATATTATATTACATATTATGTCATAATATATATTATATATTATATACAGGTATAATATATATTATATTTAAAATATATTTTTTATATTTTATATAATAAAATATATATTAATATATTATATTATATATATTCTGTATTATATATTTATATTACAACTATATAATATAATATCTAATACAATATATTATATCATATCATAACACAACACGTAACACAAAACAACATAATTTTATAATATAATTATAGTATTGAATATATAATATGTATATTATTTTTATATATTATATAATAAAATGTAGTATATAAAATATAATATATAGCATCATATATATTATATATATAAAATATATATTATATATTTTATAGTTTTAATGTCTTGATGTGGAATAGTGTTCTGTGCTGTGTGCACCCTGTTGAATAGGAGATGATCCAAATCAATTTGTTCATGAGAGCGTGCAGCTGCTTCTTGGGGTTTTGGAGTTCGACGTGTGTTTTGTGGGTTTCATTTTAAGCAGGCATCAAGTAGCTGATTTTATATTTAAAAAGAGGTTTTAAAAAGATTCATGTGTTCTGTTTGCCTTGAGATGGTTCTGATTGCAAATAGCACAAAAACATATCTTGGTGGTATGAATTTCACAAAAATGATGGAATAATAGGTCTTAAAATAATTAGGTCATTTAAATATGGATTATGAATATTTTAATTTTAAAAACCCTCAAAATAATTGTAATTCAGTATTGGCTTTGCTAAGTATTTTGCCACTGGCTTGAGAAACTACGGAACAATTTAATAAGCTACAATTTCTGTGTATAGCTTATGCTTCAATTTTCTTTTTAAATAAGAGTGCTGAATTTGCTAAATGAACAATTGCTAAGTGCAAATTTTCACATCTTTTTTAGTTACGCAAAGTTATTGCTCCTTTATTTAATTCAGGAAAGAACCCAGTCAGAACATCAGTGCATTGGTGCAAAAGTGTGCAATATATGGAGTTGAATGTGAGCTTTTCAGAAAGTGACATTTTCAGATCTGACCAGTAGTAAAAATGTGTAGATACAAAATTAAATAATGTGAAGTAGCCAAGACTTGAGAAATTTAGGTGAGGTAGTAAGGAGAGAATACTCACTGTCAGGTTGAAAACGTTATTTCAAAATGAGCTTTAAAATGAAGAAAAGCAAATATTTCCAGTGAGAAGAGATCTGGAAGAGGCAGATGAAAAACCACCTGGTTCTTCCGTCATGTTTCCCACAAAAAGAGGAGTTCTGGGGCAGCAGTAATATTTAAGCCATGCAGAAGGTGTTCCTCAGCTTTTCTAAGATAAAGGGCTAAACTATGCATTCCTTTCAAGTGTGTTGGACAGAGACCCAGTGGGAGAAATGCAGACATGTGCCAGGACAGCACAGCTTCTTTTCTAGCCATCTTGCTCTCTAAGATGGCTTACATCTTAGAGATTACATCTATTTCTCTAAATTTGCAGTTCTCTCTGGGCTGAAGTGACATGCAGTGTATATTTACAAATTTGTGGAATGCCTCTCCCCTCTGTTATTTCTCCAGAGAATGCTCTTTTTGACAGAATGCTGTGGAGAGTATTGTCAAGTAAAGTCCATTTTCTTTTAAGCTAAGCCTGCAAACATGTTCTGCCAAGTGTCATGGGAGTTGTAAAGTCTTCTGTTCTTTGTGTCATGGAAAAAAACCCAGTCTTTTAGAAACATTCCCACAACATAAACCAACAATGAACAGTCCTCTGAGTCGGTATAAGTTTATCTCAAAGTACCCTATGCAAACCTGGATGTGAAAAGTTCATTTTCCAGATAGATGAGGACATTTGACAAGTGCTGGGTGCTCTTCTGACAATAATTGACTCCAGTAATTTTCTGCTTGCTTAGAAAAGAGGAACTTTGCATAGCAGTTGATGTAACTTATGATGGTTTAATAGACAAAGGAGGTCTGGGTCTAATTTTTGATGCTGGTGTCTACCTTAGTGGATACAAGTTATCCTTAGAATGAAATGGATCCTTAAATAACATGGTGTTCTTGGTGAAAAGTCTTGATCATTGAAAGATGACTGCATGTCACCTGGATATCATAATATAAGCCATATTCTTCTTTGCTCTGGTGTTTTTCCCTCATTTTCTGTCCTTCCTATTGGAAAGAACAGGTGAGTCCTTGTTCATAAGGTAAATACTGTCTTTTCTTATAGTGGTTTGTGTTAGAATTTATGGCACAACAATGTTCTATTTGTGCTAACTATAAACTTGCTTTCTCTGGGAAGTCAGTTGCATAAATCATTGTCAAATTAAGAGGAGAAAGGAGGCATAAGGATATAATTTATAAACAGGTAAAGCTGGTGCTTGCTTACAAATTAGTTGAGTATAAGGGATTTATTTCTGAGATATGGAGCTTTAATAAATGGATATTTTTCAATATTTGTTAAAAGATAGTCGGTCTAACATTATGGGATTTTATTGTCTATTTTCTGCACTGTGTTAGAAACAAACCTTGCATCAGTTCAGTTCAAATCCATATGGGCATCAAAAGCTTGGGGAGTTGATCCAGGCGACATCTGTGTGTGGTCAGGTCTGTTCTCAGGTGAAAGAGCAGCCTGGCTCACCAGGGAGCCACAGAAATAGTTGTGCTACCTTAGGAATGGCAGTGGCAGTCTGAGAGAAATGTGGGGCTGTCCCTCTGAGAGAGGCACTGCCCTGCATGTACCACACTGAAAAACTGCAGCACAGGGCTGGAAACATCCTCCACTTTCCAGACAGTTCTCCACCTCCTCTTTGTGGCACTCCTGTTTGGGGAGAGCTTGTTTGACTTGCTCAAGTGGCTCCTGTGCTTTGGAGATGACAGCACCAAGCTGGGGAAGAGGCTCTTGTGTACCCATCACCAGTAAAATCTGATTCTCACTGGCTGAAGCTGTGAATGCAATGGGCAAACTGACAGTCATGCTTCAGCTGAGTTTTCTGTTGCCTTTTTTTTCCCTGCTTAAAGCAGAATGCTGCGTGTGTTATTGGTTATTCTGGTTAGATGGCAGTAATCTTAGTGAAATCACATAATTCCCATGGTTACTCACTGTGTGGCTTGGTTTGCTGATGGCCATAAACTAAAGCACAGCGAGTGCCACCTGGACAGGAGGAGGAACTTGTGTACACACCTGCTGCAGGTGAGCCTGTCTGGGCAGGGCAGCTGGACTGGGTGGTCTCCAGAGCTCCCTCCAACCTCAGCATTTATTTCTGTGATTATGCGAAATAAACCCAAAGGTATTGTGGCAACAGCAGATAAATGTGGCTAAATTAAGGGGTTTTTCTATATTCAGAACTCATAAATGAAATCCTCCATGTATTTAACTGAAAGACAGCTGGAGTAATAAGTCACTGGAGGAGAAAACTGAGGAAAAATACGTTTGATGTTTGCACTTTAAATGTGCCTCTGTTTTTTGCTAGTGGTTTTGTCAGAGCTGAAATCTGAAGAGGGCAGAGGAATTCCAGCTGCAGCTCTCACGTTCATTTGGGATTGCTGCTTATTATTTTTATTTTTTTTTAAAACATGTAGTGCTGCTTTAATAAGGCAAAAATGGGTCAGGGTCTGTTAGATATTCAGTGTGTGGGTGGGAATCCTTTGACGTGCTTTCTGGGGAAGCCACCAACTTGGGAATTGCTGCTGAGGATGCAGGAGAAGAAGATAAAACTCAGGCAGTAGTACCAGATATTCCAAATAAACCCTTTCATGCCTGCTGAAAGAGGCTGGAGAGGTGGCTGAAATCTGGCCATTAACCAACAGCATGGAAAATTTTTAAGTATGAGGAACTCGTGCAGAGGGGAAAAAAATGTGTGCTTTGTAATTCTCTGAGCAGAATGAGAAATTGTGCCCCAAAAGTATGGATAAATAGTATAGAATTCATCATAAAATTTAAATGCCATTTTTTAAGGTAAAGTGATTTTGAGGTGTGGGCGGGCTTGTGGATTTTGCTTTCAGAATTATACAGAGTTTGCAGGGAAGAAGTGATAGATCAGCTGGGCATTGTATGCTCTGGGGAAAATAGATTTTTTTTTTTCCAGTTCTAGAAAAAACAGGGTTTTTTTAATTTTGATAAACTTTTTTTATGTGCTTATGAGTCGCAGCTGAGTATTATACATTGGTGCTTCTCTTACTATGTATTATTTTTATTTAGCTTTTAACTGTAGTTGCATAAGGAATACAACTAATTGCAATCAAGGCATATTCATTATAATGGTGCCTTGACTACATATAAGTAAACTTAAATAGTTATCTGGTTATTTCTTTCTAAAGAATTCTCTATGTATGTCAACATCTGGCTGTCTCCCAAATGCAGGCAAAAAAGAGAAGCGAGCTACCTTAAATATGAAGTGGAAAAAGTCAATTGAGGGTAGTTAAAAGACCCTCAAATGCCATTAACATTAAAATATTACTTTACTGGCTTCTATTTTGTTTCCCAAAACATTTGAGTAGGAAACCAAACACATTTCTGTACCAAAACATAATATCATTTTGATCTGAGTGCTTTTGAATAAGCTGCTTAATCATATTATTTTTGGTAGAAAAATCTTAGAAGAGATAGGTTTTACATCAAGTGAGGTTTATTTTTATAGGTAACTGACATTTATCAGTTTTGGTTTATTTTCTCTTGCAATATATCCTGGTTCCAGCCAGGTTAACTTTGGCAGCTGCCAGGAGGGGCATGGCCAGGACCTGGATGTGATTCCCCAGCATCCTGGGCAGGGTGGGGAGGGGAGGGGTCTCCTCCAGGTGTGGGTGGGTGCTGGGGAGCCCG